AAAAGTATCACAACATAACCCCTGCCAGCAAAGATGACCCTAAATCAAAAAGAACAGATTAAATTACACTCGAGTATAAATATAGTTCAGTCACAGGCAGATAGTTACTTTTGGAAACCATTGACATTAGTTGAAATAAAAGATGTTGGTATTCAAAGGAAAAAACAAAGAATTCACTGAATATTTTGACTAGTCAATGGCTTACTCCACTTAACCCAAAATTTTATACTTAGGACACTTATCTCCCTCCTCCCATTAATCTTTGTGTCAAACTACTGGGGCCAATCTGGCTCTTGTATTCCACAGTGTTTTCCCATGAGTTTTCCCTAGTAACTTTTGACTTTAATATACCTAACTGCATTCTAAACTACCCTCCATAAAGTATTTTTTGCGCATTATCCAAATCCTCTATGTAAAGTCAAGTTGTAGCTGTAATTTTATTTCCCCAGTTTACTGTACATGGAAGTTATCCTTCACAGACACACTAACAAAATGTTCTTCAAAATAATGAACACGGGCTTCCCTGGTGGCACAGGGTTAAGAATTTGCCTGCCGATGCAGGGGACACGGGTTCGAGCCCTGGTCCGGGAAGATCCCACATGCCGTGGAGTAACTAAGCCTGTGCGCCACAACTACTGAGCCTGCGTTCTAGAGCCCACAAGCCATGACTACTGAAGCCCCACGCACCTAGAGCCCGCGCTCTGCAACAAGTGAAGCCACCACAATGAGAAGCCTGCGGACCGCAACGAAGAGAAGCCCCCACTCGCCGCAACTAGAGAAAACCCGCACACAGCAACGAAGACCCAACGCAGCCAAAAATAAATAAAATTTATTTTTTTAAAAAAATGAACATGAAAGTATTTCATTCAATAAACAGGTTACTTACCTATAAGGCTGATTCTCTGACAGATAAAACCAAATAATTATGATTACAATTACAGAGCTTAAACTTGGGCTAACAAATTTTGAAAACTGGGTATCCAAGATCTGCTCCATTAGAGTCCTCAACCTAGAAATCCCAAAAGTCCATGGAATAAATCTTTATTGGATCAGGGAACCTAGTTCAGACTATCAACTGAAAGACAGAAGTTCTAACCCCATTTCTACCCAGAATTCATCATACTTTAAGTAAATAACCTAAAAACCTTGATTATGAGTTAGGAAACAGGGACTGCCACCTATGCTGTCTATTTCCAAGTAGTTGTGGGTGTCAAATGAGAAACTAGATGAAATTACTTTGTAAATTATGAAACACAGTACAAATGTAAAATTATTTTATCCAGGGCCGGATTTCAACTCTAGTGCTTTCTAAGCAAAATCCATCCCTAGTCTTGGAGTTTTCTGGCCCTTTGAAAGAAATTACCTTGACAAACAATAAAAGTAGTCTCATAGGAAGTAGTGAATCTAGAAGAATTGATGAGGATTTTCCTATGTAGCTTCTGAAACTGATGAAGTATCAAATGATTCCTCATAAGCACTGTGCAACAGAAGGACATATAATTATTTAGTACATTAATGCTTTCAGAGAATCAAGTCTGAAACTACAATTCTTGTAATATTCCTTAATATGATTTGAAAACAAGATTTTTACCTGAACACTACATGAGCAACACTCTTAGATGAGCAATAACTATCTTACTCTTACGCTTTCATTATCTAGAAACTTACAAATCAATATCAACATTAGCAATATTATCAATGAGTTAAATCATTTGTAAGATCTCAAAAATCTAGAAACCCTAAATCTGACTTTCCACCCTCTATCTGTTCATAAAAGCTTTCATGAAGCTATCCAAGGCCCTTCAAGTACAAATTTAAGTATTCTTGTACAATGAGAATTCAGAGGCAACTGACCAAATCACATTTTTATTTGAAAATTTATTTTCCAGTGACTGCCTTGTGAATTGGAAGGAAAGCTCTGAACATTAAATCCCAGGACCTGAAATCTTCCATATCTTCTCTCCCTAGAAACAGAACTTCAAAATTTAGAGGTCAGTTTCAGTGTCTCTGATTCAAAATCAGCAAAAGGTCCATTCTCAAACAGAAAGAGCAATCCACAGTTTTAAGCACATGATCTCAGTTAGTCCAGCTATTTAGGCCAAAAAGAGAGTCAATAGGTATTATCTACCACTTTAACAGACTCTATCAACCTAGAAGATGAGAGTGTCTTGAGCTGAAGTATATTTCTTTTTGATTCCCCACCCCCTAATCTTTAAGAAGGCATATTGTAGTAAAATACTCCACAGCTGGAATCACACCAGAGAAGAAGATACTCTTCAGTCCCTTGATCACAGTGGAGTTCTCCATTTGGATAAATAAATACATAAAAGCACCTATGGGTTTATATGCTGAAGAGGGATGGTATCTAGAGAGGAAACAGGGCAAGCACCCAAAACATCTGTAGGCTCATTTCTCTGGCCTATGGCCTAATTACCATGAACTGGGTCTAAGTCTAGGACTCGACATAGAATATCTTTTCAAACATTTAGAAGTGATTAGATGACCTTGTATATGATATCCCTGCAAACAAGATGGATAAATTATAGGATGAATGCTAGGACAGAAGGTTGCTGATTAATTAATGTTAATTCAAAGAACTGGAACTGGAACAAAGAGCTATGGCCTCCTGGCTCCAGACAAAGAGCTACGTCACACTCAGTGTCTTCTATTCATAATATATTTTCTAAACTGGCCATCAGGAAGTACTCATTCCCTAGTGGTGGACATCTGTGTGTGCAGGAGGACAATAATCCATCTACCCCAAGTGTTTTTTTTCTTCTTTCTTTCTTTCCCCAAAGTAACTTTTAACATTTTCCAACTGCCAGAAATTTATTGGAGAATTAAAAGCACTAGACAGGTATCATGATGCTATTTTCAACAATGACAATTTGGGTAAAAAGAGTCGAAACATTTTCTCTAACCATCTCCTGGTTCTAGATAGGAACAGGGATTTTACTGGAAGAGATTACATGTGATATGATCAAACACCTCATCCCAATTTTTCTTAAATTATCTTTAACCAAGATGCTAATCAAGATGCTCCCTCTCCATCCCACTTCTGCTGATCTGCTTCCTTTGGGGGAAAAAAAAGTTAAAAGTGAAAGGTCAAAGGTGCTATTTTCAAAAGATTTGGAAAAAGGAAAAAGCAAGAAGGAATCAATTCTGTTGCCCAAAGTAACCCAACAAGGCACTAATTTAACTTGAGAACACTGTCCTAATAAAGCAACTAGCATCCAAATTCCAAAGTACTCTGTATACCCTAAGGAACCCATGAAACTACTGTTCTCATTCTCAAAGGTTTAGGAATATGCACCTTACTCTTCAAATGTTATGGCCACTATCTTTAGAGAATCATTTTATAGGAACATCATTTTTCAGAATCACCAGAAGAGCTTTTTTACCAAAAAAGTAACATAATGTACTAATGGGAAAATATTTTCCATGATTAATAACCAGTTGACCCTTAATAAGAGAGATCCTCTTTTGCCAAAGAAACAATAAAAAGCAAAGAATAGAATAGAGTATGATTTTGTAAATATGCATACTTCCAGACTTTTCRGTATTTCCCCCAAGACACATGCTCTGCTTCCTAGTGCCTGCAGGAAAAAACTCTACTTTTGAAAACTGATACATGATACTAATGGTAAGAACTCAATTTATCTCAAATTGAAAAAACTTCATTTATGAATTTTTTTTCATCTCAAACTGGACTTCAAACATTTCAAATACATGAAAATGCTAACAGTTCCACAAAATAAGTAAAACGCTCAGATAAAATGATCTATGAAACACAATATTAAAATGCTGTTTATAAAGAAAACAGAAGAAAATTTTCAGAAAAGAGACCTATGCTAAAAGGCCACCATGTTATCATGTACAAATCTAAACTATCTATAATGCGTGGCAAAACATTATCATATTCTACAGGCAGGATTTGATACTTTCATCCAATATATAGCAGGATCTGACAGCTGCCACAACAAAAACATTAAAAAGGTTCCTCAAATAAGTATTTTTACACAGTTTATATAATCTGATTGTGATATTTATTCAAAAGCCTACTCTGTAAAAGTAAACGTGATTAAGTCTATCTTTTACTATTGCTGATCATGATATTTATGATAAGCACTTTTGTTAACAGTTCCTTTCACGATTTAGACATAGCTCCAATTCATTTGTTATTGCCCAGAGTATTGTAAAGAAAATCTAAGCAAAATCGTGATAAATCTGGACATGGAATTCTTTATTTTAAAAAGTACCTTTATCACAAAGGTTGAGAACAGATAGTATTTTAAGATACAGTCTCCCCTTATAATTTAGAATCAGGAAAATAAAGAAATCTGTCTCAAATGCTTTACGTAAACTATAGAGCAGACTTAACTCTTGCTAATAAGCTAATTACAACATACAACTAGCTGTCACAGTATTAACAGTAATATCTACTTCTCTACATCACAAAAGTCAAAGATGATGCATAAAGCACATTGTTTAAATCAAAAGTTTTAATTGGAAATTAGATGTAAATAACTAAGATAAATGTAGATTTGTAGCCTGCCAGATTTCCCTTATTTGGATGATGTTTATTCACTCATTAATTGTTCTACATTATGTGGACACCACATACACTTCATAAAGCTCTACAAGTGTACTGTGATAACTAAAGATGTTTCTATTTTATAAATTAACTCAAATAATATAAAACTTATTAAAAAATAAAAACACCATCAACCACGTTTCCACACGTCTTTTCTAATTTGAGATGTGTGAAATCTTAAAACTAGAAAACCATATCGCCATTGAGAAGGCTAATAAAGCTGGATGTTAGTCTTTTTTTTGGAAAATTTTTTTTTAAGAGTTGAGAATATCATTGTGTTAAACCCAGAATTTCAGCTAAAGCATTAATTTTAGCTGTAATAAAAATGCTATAGACATTATGAATAAATGAAAACTTGGGGAATAATAAACAAAGCAGAATTCATGGTTACCATATTTACACATACTCTTTGTTGTGTTTCAGTGCCACATGATCTGATTCAAAGTAATAAACATCAGGATCATCATCTTCCTCTTCTGTAATGTGCGGATTGGCACTCTCTTTGGCAGATGGCAAATGTCCAATATTGAGTCTTGCCTCTGAGGATGGCTTACTTAGTCCTTCACTCCCATAATTTTCAGAGTCACAACATATGCCTTTTTCATTGTGAGAAATTTCATCAGGATTTGTGACAGACTGACTTATATTATCACTAACAGGTGCATTTGTTTCACTGGGATTAAGATTATTCTCCTCAAGTTGTCCATTTTCTCTGCAAGGAGAACTGTTTTTAGTGGGACTACCTCTGGTAGGGGCCGCCCTCCGGGGTGAAGTTCTCAGAGTATACCGATGTTCTTGAGGTTCTGATAAAGACATCATCTGAGCCGAAATACAGTCTAGAACAGAAGATGGTTCTGGTTCTCCGGAGACTGGCATACTCTCAAGACTTGTGTCCAGGGCGTTATTGGTGTTTTCATTACACTGCTCTTTTGAGGCACTGCTATCTCCCACCACATCTACTTCCTCCTCAGAATCCCTTAAAGATGAATGAATTTCAGAAAAGGGGCCTGTAGCTGGCTCAGTAGTCAGCTGATTAACATGTTCCACAGGCAGGCAGGCAGTTACTATTTTGTGGTCCTCCAACTTGACCTGCACTTCTGAATTTGTGCAAGGCACGTTATGGTCTATATAACTGTCCTCCTTCCTACTACCAAGGAACATTGAAGTGTGGGTATCCGAATCCCCATTTTCAGCTACTGATTTCTCCTGCAACACATAGGAACCAGTGCTATTTTGTTTAGTGTTCCCATCGGACTGACAGTCATCACAGTTTACAACAGCTGAATCACTGTCATCAACACCATTGACAGCCAAATAGCCCGTGATTTCTTCAACTACTGTAGAATTAAGTGGCCCTTCCTCACTGACATTCACCTTTTTAATTTCCCTTTTCTCACAATCATCCAGTATAAGACATCGACAAGCTCGTTTAGTCCCTTGAAAATCTGCATCATTGTCCACTACTGTACTCCTCTGTTCTACTGACTCCTTGTCTGATTTTATAGGTGAATCTTCTTCTGAACTGTTTGGTGCTTCAGATCTAAGACAACGCTTAATTCTTTTTAAAACTGGTGAAACAGGTTCTGTTTGCCTTCTTTCACAATTTTCTACAGACTGCCTTTCTATGTTATCTTTTTCTGAAGAAGGAAGTCCTCTTTTCCTAGGGCTTACCCATGACTCTCGAGTACTCTGCTGTTTTATATCAGTAGTTCTTCCATTATTATTTCCTTTCTGAATTTGCACAGGCTCTGGTCTCTTCTTTGGTGATCTTGATCGTACTTGAGAATGAGAAGAGATTTCTTCAGGATGAGCAATGCTACGATTCCTTAAAGTTCTACCACAAAAAGATTCATCCAAGCCGTTTAACCCCACTGTTGATCTTGTAACACGAGTAGATCGGGAAGCAGCCATACTATGGCAAGTCCCTACAATACGGTCATCATGATCCACTCATTGGGAAACCTTCAAAAACGTAAACAAAATAATGAGAAAAAGGTAATAGTTAATACACCTAAAACAAAAGTATAAAGCTATAACTTTTTAATCCATGTATAGCCATATTAAATTTTGTGATATAATTATTTTATTAACATTTCCAAAAGTGATAATATTAGCTAACAATTATATGGCACTTAATACATTGCAGAAATCGTTCTATATGCTTTACATACGTTAACTCACTTAAGTCTAACAACAATTAGAATAAGTGCTTATTATCATTCCTACTTCATAAATGAGGAGATTGAGGCACATACAGTTTAAGTAATCTGTCCAAATTCACACAGCTAGTAAACTGCTGGGCAGGGCCCTAGATTCCACGCTCTTAACCTTCCTCGCTATGTATCTACCTCTCAGATATACAGGGGCAAAGCGCCCAGAAAGATCTCTCTCAAAGACAGGACTTCATCTTGGTTATTAAAATAATAATCTTGAATTTATATAGCAGCTATCATATAAACTATCCCAATCACTTCTCATGTTTTCTCAACACTTCTGGGAGGTAAAAAGACAGGCTCTGCTCTTTTTAATTCACTCTTACTAAAATGAGTTTCAGGTCAAATTCTTTGATAACAAACCATGTGGCATCCAAAAAAAATTTGGTTGCAGTAGAATTTTTTATAACTAAGCAGATGAACAGAAATCGCAGTAGAATTTTTTATAACTAAGCAGATGAACAGAAATCATAACCGTAGCTTATACTTGCTAAGAGCAATACAGAGCAAAGCCAAGCCACCCTAGTCTCTAGAAGTAGAGCCACAAATTAGCAAGTGAAAGGAAGTATTCTAAAGAGGATAGAAGAAAAAGGGAAAGAAGCACACTGCCGAACAAATATTACATTTAAGAAATCAGGAATACACATATAACCCCATCCTTTCCTTCTTTGAACTCCTGAGTATATGTGTATGCCACAGTATTAATGCATGTTGAGGAGTTGAGCAGGCTTTCTGGTGTGGATGCTTTGGTGCTTCTACAATACAAATGAGAGGGAAACTGAAAACTGCCCTGATTGATCCATTTGTATAAACTGAGCGATTCAATGATTATTTTCCAAGGTTCTCCCAACAAGCAAAATTAAAGGAGCTGTTAAAATTTCAAGTCTCCATTCTTCTGCTCCTCCTCTATTTAGCTTTCAAAAGGTACTTTGCCACTTCACTGCCTGACTTCAAATGGGGTGCAGGATGGACAGAGAAAAGAGGCCAGTAATGGTCGTAGTACAAAGCTGCACAGGAACCTCTTCCCTCATCCCTTTTGCCAGCTTTCCCACAAGCTCACTCTCCTATAACCCTCCAAATGCCATTCTACCCCTCTCCCCACAAATCAAATACAATCTCTCCTTTGCCTCAACTTAGAAGTATCTAACAGTTGGAAAGGTTATTAAGAGCTACAGAAGATACAGCAACACGGTATCACATACAAAAAGAAGAAACTGCCTTCTTGTTCCTGCCTGCTGACAAAATGAATAAAGTGAAGAAGTATCCTGTAAAATATGTAAGTCAGTTGAATTTAGTTTTGTTTCAGAGTATGGCATACTTCTAAATTTTTAATTAACAATTTTTTAAAACCTTACAAGACTCACAAAATCAGCCCTGGGATTAAAGTGTGAAAATTCTTTCTAGAGAATTCCATAGCAACCACATGAACAGTAAGTATGGAACATTGATCAGAACTTAAAAATAATGCTTTTCAAAGTAAACTTTTACTCTTTTGGGACTCATTAGTCAGACCTGATGTATAATTCTCTTCTGTTAAAATCTTCTTATCAAGATTACAGTCTATTTTTATTCACAGGTAATAAACAGTGAATGACCCATAAACATCCACTTTTAATTACAAAACTTTAAGTTAAACTTCAGATGATGTTTCAAAAGAGCACAAACTAAAAAATATTAAAATCAATGTATTTGTTTCATGTATCCAAATCTGAAGCCTTCAAATTTGAAGATTACAGATTTTTAAATATTAAATACCTATGTAAATATAACAAACATAAGCTAATTTTATAAACTTTATTTATAAAACCTAATGCAAATATCTTTAATGCCAATTTGATTATATTCGTGATTTATGGTTCAAAAATAATATTGGCAATAGTAATATTTTATAAACACACACACAAAAAACTGTTTATCTTTATTTTTAAAAATATGATGCCAATCGAGGGCATATAAACTTCAAATGATTCTGGTAACAGGCATTCCTAGCCCTTTTCTCTCCACACCAACCCAAATGAGAGCAAAATTTCTGCCTTATCATTATTAATGAAGTAATCCTATTATTCGTAGTACCCAAAACTACTAACAAAGAATATATATATATCATTATAAAACACCACCTATAATGAGGGTCTGTTTTATTTCTGCACCATTCCAGTGATCAATCAAAACACTGATCAACATGAAATATTAAAACTTTTTTCATTTCTTTTGCTCTCTAAAAATATTTTTATTCCATTCACAACTACAATGAAGTCCAAGTTTTAGAGTTCTCAAACCCTATGCTATTGGGCCATATTTTAAATGAAACTGTTTTGTGATAAGAACCCTTGTGGTACCTCAAACTCTTGCAACTCAAAGTTTGGCCTGAACACCTGAAACTAACACAACATTGTAAATAGACTATACTCCAATAAAAAGTAAAAAAAATAATAATAATAAAGAAACCAATAGTATATTTTGTATAGAAATTTGGTGACTCATATTTACTGTCCTTAAAGTAAAGTATAAAAGTCTTAAAAAAAAAAAAAAAAGTGTGGCCTGAGAACTAGCACCGTGGACATCTACTGGAAGCTTGTTACAAATGCAGAATATCAGGCCCTGCCTTAGCCCTTCCAATTAATTTGATTCCCAGGTCATTAAATGTCTATTAGGGTTTGAGAAGCAGTGCCTTAGACCACTGCATCCAGACAGTAGTCTATTAAAATATATCAAGTTTCACACTAAATTAGACCATTTATAACATATCCTTTAATTCTTTATTCGATCCTAATAATAAAAAATTTATAAATAAAACCATTATCCCTTTGGCTAAGGAAGTACCAAATAGAGGACTATAAAAATCTCTTGCCTGAAATTAACATATTACATATACTTAAGGTATTAAATTGGTTAAAATTCTGAAGATTAGAGTTAAGTGAAATTTCAACACTCTTCCTTCTAATGATTTTTTTCTTCTGTTCTAACCTTTTTCTTCATTACCTTTTCTATTTTTGAATAAGCATTTATAAAGACACATATTTTCTGTAGTTATCTGATAAACTGAGTGCAAAATTCAATTACCGAAAAGAGACTAACAATGTTCCAATTATCTCAACCAAGTCTCAACATTGTTTTGCCATGCTGTGTAAAGTATTATAGACTAAAAGCAGTTGTCTTCCTCATTTTAGCTGCATAACACAAGAGTTACTAAAGAAATTTAGTGAAGAGGTTTGGAGTACAAAATTATATTCCAGCCAAAAATTAGGTTGCTAAAGGAAGAGAAAAAAACTCATTTACAAACAAAGTATCTCAGAAAATACCCCTGCTAGTTAAGTAAATAGTTAACATGGTTTAAACATTAGCCAGCACCCAACTAGAACTGGTAATTCAATCAATCACTCTAGTTTTAGAATTAAGGGAAACTGTTAGTTAACAGATTCATATGGGCAAAACCCAATCGAGCAACTAGAATGACGTTTTTCCTATGTTACCCACAAACTAATGAATATGGCATTTTCCACAATAGAGGGAAGAGAATATAATCAATCACTAGAATTCCTCTCTTCCCCACCTTCGTGAGTTTTCATTCTATTGCAGGACATATCTCAGGAGAGTCAACCAAATTTTACCCTGTCCATTCACATTAAGGCCCAAATCCTACCTATAATTCAATGTCTCACCCATTTATTTACTGCTGAACTACCCTCTCCCAAATTTGAATCTACTTGTAGGATCTAATTATAGGATTCTCAAATATAATTATAGGATTCTGAAACGCTCTCTGAAACAGTATCAGCTATGTTTCAGATCATAAATTTCCAGCCCCTGTGATGACATCTGTACCACTGTTTCAGTGACTGAAAGTAAAATGGTCCACCTAATGAAACACTACTCCAGCTATCTATCACCTTTACTTTAGAAATCTCAAAAGATATTTCAAAGACACTGCCTGTAAGCTTTTTTTTCCACTATAATTACTGAAGTAGTATGGTTTATTTTGGGAATTGAAGGACTGGCAATCCTTCATTAACATCAATGTTCTAGCTGATATTTATTTAGTTTTATTAAGTGAACAAATTTTAGGAACTGGTCATGATACCATGTAGACAAACCAAAGTGAAAGGCAAAAAGAACAAGAGCAATTGCGAAGTGTTACCAATGATTCTTTTCTATTTGTCTAGAACATAAACAGGAACTGTTTAATAACGGTTTAGGGACTATCCTTGTCATACAATTCTTTTAAGACAAATTTCTTCGCTGAGCAATTACCACTATTATCTATAATGTCAAAAGTATCTATAAGGTTAAAAGAAGGAGAGTGAGACCTGGGGACCTATCTATGTAATTCAACTTAAGGTTCTTAATATCAGTCTCTTTGAACCCTGGGAACTCTATTACATACTACCTTGATCCCCTGTTTAAAGGGATCTCTTCTTTCTTCCCCATTCAGAGAGGGGTGAGGGGGTAGGCAGAGAGACATAGATATAGAGAGAGCTGAATGAATATACACTTAAAAAGACAAGTGGGGAGAAAGAGAAGTCAAGGAATTTCATACTACCCTTGAATCAAAAATACCTAGAGTGTCAAAGAAAGGTATAACGCTCTAGAGATTCCAATGTACTTTAAGTCACTTCATTTATCCCCTGTTGGAAAAATATATCATCCCTATGCCATTCCCTATAGCTCTGCGCTCCTATGAACAGCTACCCAGACTGCACAATTTTCCATGCACCGAAGGAAGTATAGAAAAATAACAAGCCTCCTCTCCTTAATTACAGGCAAACAAACAGACTATAGTTGTCTTCACTACTACAAAACTAAATAACTTACCTGTATAACCAAAGATCTATCATTGTGGAAATATTATCTCTTTTCCTTATATCCTGAAGGAGTTGGAGCTATGATCTAGAATAGAGCTTAAGCATCATGGTTTCAGACTCTCAGCTTCAGCCATGGAGAATACTAGAACTTCCTAAATTCCTTTCTTTAAAAATAAAATAATAAAAAAAAAGAATTAAAGAATCAAATTAACTTATGCTAAAATATTTTAGTAACATCTTTGGTAATTCTTGTTAACTTTGTAGCCTCAGATATATCAAGAAACTGGAAAAGGATTTTTAGAAACCAACAAAAACAAACCAAAAAGAGCTTGAAATATACTAAATCTTTACAACAACTCAGTATTATTTTGAGTCAAAATGTAACTCAGTTCTTTTCTAGAGTCTAAGGCAATATTGTTTTGAGGTGACCCAAAGACTGCCCTTGATAAGAAGATTTCTCATACGGAATTTATAATCTCTCACTCTTATTCTAGAGGCCTTCCCAAAGTTTGGCTTTCAGGTATTTAAAACTAGGAACTGAACAACAAAATTAATTTAGATTATGTACAACAAAGAATCAACCAAGTCTTCTGCAATATATATACATTATAACTTTGGTTATATAAAGTGCTACAAGACTTTACAAAGGGAAATTTTTTATAAAGGGAAATTTCTATTATTTTTGGCATATGGATTTTCAACAAAAACAAAAACATAAGGATTTTCTGGCTTTAGTACCCAGTTGGCCAGATATTTTAATTAATCTAATTATAATCCATTTCTTGGACAGTCTGGCTAATTACAGTTTTACTTTATAATAATGTATTATGATATCCTTTTCAGAGAATCTGGATAAATGGGTTACTATGAGTGCCCAGCCAAAAACAAGGAGGAACACCAGGAAAAAGACTAACGATGTTCATGATGGAAACTGTCACTTTATTATAAACATAAAACTAGATATTCTAGAAGTGACACTATTTTTGGTAAAAGATTGCAACTTAAAAACTAATGCAAAAAAATTTTTTAAATAAAAACTGATGCAATTATCAAGCTTTGTAAACTAGATTTACTGCCTAGAAAAAATAAATAGATTACAGTTTAAGTCAGCAAGAGGGCAACAAGGCTAATATCTAATATCTATAGATGCAACCTCTCCCAGATATGTCTTCTAAATTCTTGAAAAGCACAAGGTAGGAAAATTGTCTAAATAAAATTATTTAATACTACATTAAAAAATGTTCTAAATTAACATGAGGAGGGTGCACAGTGAAAAATGGTCCTACAAAAAAGTAACCCTTGACTTGAAACTTCACTCTTCTTATAACATTCGAATTGCCAACGCCTTTGTACTCAGCCCTGAAATCCTTTCACAAACATGGTAAAGCATTACACTGTATGGTGTATGGAGATGGTAGCAAACAACAGAGCCAAAGAGGATCCACAGTTTAGGATGTGTCTCTGAGTATCCGCTGGCACGCCCATTCCAGCGCTCTATCAAGTTCCAATCAGTCACGTTACTATCCTATTTGGGTAGGGTTTGCTGTTGAAACATCATCCATTATGATATTTGCCAGGCAAGGAGATCTGCAACAGTTATTTTCACAGAAGAACTGATACTTACAGCTGAGTCCTACCAGTATTAAGATAAACAGGATCATGCAGATGATTATGCAGATTAGGCTTCTTAAAAGCCTAATACAGTGAAAAGGAAACTTCAATTACTTCTACTAACTAAAGCCCACTTGGCCTTAATTAAGATTACATTTTTTCTTACCTTTTTAAAAAGTGTTTCGCCTAGTATTTGATTCCCAAGCGTCTGCATTTATCTGTCATCACTGTTAATGTCCATGTTACACTGTGACTTCAGGTATTACTTATTTATATGGTTGTACTAGCACAACTTGATATCTGTGAAGGGAAACCACAATATAGTCACTATGGATGTGCTACTGTTTACAGATTTGTGGATAAAACTGATAATATTTCTTAACACACCACACACTGCATTTTCTAATAAATTTCACAAATAATTCCTTATATTTAGCTACAAAATATGTTACTTTTTAGCAGACTAAGATGATTTGTTAACACTCTTACAAATGCTTCTCACAGTACCCACATAAAATATTTCAAATTTAATTCTAAATTAAAATTCTTACAAATTTTAGAGCTTCTTAGATTCCTTTTCTGACTACCAATGTAGACAAACAGATATATCTGTAATTTCTCAGACATTAATAGAAAAGTACTTTTTTGTGTTTTATAACAATATTAGGGAATAAATCTAGAAGCTTAAGAATGCAGTAAAAAAGATCATGACTTTCCCCTAAATGTGACTTTAAAACATTCTATGTCTTTTAAAGTAACATTTTTGTCTTGGTTAGATTATCCCTCTGTGACTAATCTGACCATGTTATTTTGAATATAAATAGAAAATAAATGTGACAAAATAAGTGAAGAAACAAATCAAGATGTAGCTGTACAAACGTTCCTTAAAAAAAAGTAAGCTTCTTAAAAACATGCACGTGGTTGTAGGTTACAAGTCTGAGAAACACATCAATGTGCTTACAATGATAATGAAAAGCATTATATAAAACTTTAAGTCATTTCTACCCATTTATTATTGGAAAAATAAGCTAAAAAAAAGTCATATGTATGTCAAAGAAATCTATCAATGGCATTCTAAAATGATTCAGCATGGTGTACCATCCCAAATTCCAAAATCTACACAGAAAATGCAGATAGCCTTACATCTGTTTTGTGGATAAAATTTGTTACTGGAGTTGTCAACCTGACAGATGTTCTCAGTGAAAAGTTTCACTAAAATACAGTAGAAAACTAACATAATATCAATTATATTTAAATTTTTTTTAATTGGAGGAAAAAAAATAGACAGCGATTAAGAAATACTAATACCTTTCCTCAAACACTTCATTCCTATTATTTGTTTTCTTTTTTTTTTTCCCCCGCCACTCCACACATCTTGTGGGATCCTAGTTCCCCGACCAGGGATTGAACCTGGGTCCCCTGCAGTGGAAGCACAGAGTCCTAACCACTGGACTGTCAGTGCATTACCTCATTTGTTTTCAAACGTTAAAAAAGGCTTTAGGAAATGCCAAAAAAAGTTAATACAGATCTAGGTATTCCTAAATTTAAAAGTTGATATAAATTCTCTTGTAACAAGCAAGGAGTTAAAATAGTCAAAACTCTTCTTATATTCCCTATATAGCAGTCTTCATTTCATTCACTATACATTTCATATTTAAGATTCTGCACAAATACTATATGCTTTCTGGAGCAGAAAAGCTACTTAGAATTGTGACAAGCTACAATAATTTTTAAATGTGAACTATTTAAATATATAACTTACTTCCAGAAGTTTAAAAAACTTAGCTACTTTGTCTTTTAAAACGCATACAAAATAGAAAACAAACCATTTAAATCCCATTCCTAAGGGCTTATTTATTCTTTGCCACAGAGCTTTGCTTGTTTTCACGTACTAACAAAATTCATTGACTATTCAAGAATTCCAAAAGCAAATCCAGAAACCAATCTTCACTGAAAAGAATTACTTTTCCTACCATTTGAAGTCTAACACTAGTACTACTGTGTTAAACAGATTACGGATCTCAGATTCATGGCACATATGAAATCACTTTAAAAGACTACAGAAAATCTCACTAGAAAATATATCAGTTCTACTAATACAGCAAAGTTATAAGCCACACAACATACTATAAAAGTAAAACAGTGACATCCAAGCTAAATGCAATCTAAATTATAAGACACTGAATTTTTTTTTTTTTAGTTTTATAAGATCTTGGGGATAAAAACTCAGAACAAAGGTTATAATACAGATTCATATTTCACACCCAATTCTTCAGTTGTTATAAGAAAAATACTGAACACATGCACTGCAGTACACTATGGCTTTAAGTGATTTTAAAAGAAAACAGAGAGAGGGACATTCAAAGCTGGTTGTAAAAAGCATTAAGATAATGGTCAAAGACAAAAATACTTTTTCTAGACAATTAAGTTTATCACAGTTACTTGCTATAGAGAGCTGAACCGAATTTTCACTTGGTACAAAGTATGACCAAGAAGATCACACTTTCCTGGCTCCCTAAATTGTTTGTAACCACAGATGCAATGTCTTGGATGCCTCCTACAGATTTCAGAGATAAGCCTATTACATAGTCAACAGAAAGGAATAGAAAGAGCATCAGATTTGGTGGAAGGAGGAAATATGATTCTCTACCCACCATCAATAATAACTGTTTGACCAAGAGAAAACCACTTTGCACTTCTGCATTTCATTTCTTCACCTATAAAACAGGAGACATAATACCTGCTGACTACATCTCAGGGTTACTATGAAGTTCAGTAAGATTATACCTGCAAAGCAGGCAAACTTTAGTGTGCCTAGGAAATTCCTGGAACTAACTGCCCCAGAAATTCATATTCAGCAGTTCTGGACATGCACACATAAATCTTTATTTTTAATTAACCACTTCAGGTCATTCCAATGTAGGGATCCCCCAAAGATGAGGCTCACCCTTTGAAAAAAAAAATTCCATCACTTTCTTCTGAAACTTTAGTGTTTGTAAGCATTACCCTAGGGGCTTATTTAAAATACAAATTTTTAAACCTCATCCTTAGAAATTCAGATTCAATAAAGGTGGGGCAGGACACAGAATCTTCATTTTTATCAAACACACTACAGGTGACTGAGATGTAAATGGCTCATGACCCATCCTTTTACAAACCCTGAACTAGATTCTTCCCCATACACGTTTCTCAAATCGTTCCCCACCTCTCTAGTGTCATCCATGACTAACATTAGGCCTTCATCACTTCTCACTTGAACTAACCCACATGACTTATAATTGGTCCCTCTACTTTAAGTCTTGTCCCTTACAAATGCATGGTCTACAGCGGGGTCTAAAGCGCACATTTCTGTCACTCTCTTATCTAAAACTTCCAAGGGACTTCCGCTTCTGGCCAAGACAGCGTAACAGAGATGAGATTTACGTAAATCTGGGCAAAATATATGAAAATGTTTTTCAGACACTGGAAACCAGACAATATAGGAGAGTGATCGATGAAAGAGAAGAAACAAATAAAGCAAAGCCCCAGCTTCCTGCTTGGAGAGTTTCCAAGCTTCAGAGTGAGGAGGGTGATCCCAGGCAAAGCAGTCTCCCTGATTTAAGAAAATGAAGCACAGAGTCTGGGGAGACCCAAGTCTCCAGAACACTTGTACCAGAGAGGAGGCAGCTTCAGAGAGAGCAAGTAAGACCTCAGGAGATCTGCAGAGATCCTCCTCAAGTCTTGAGCTGAGCACTGATCAGTATATGCAGTGTATCCAAGGCCTGGAAAACCACTCTTACCCATAGCCAGGGGTACGCTAGAAAATGTGTAACAACCAAGGGCAGTTGGTGGTTTACAGTTCCTGGTTTGCAGGGTTACCAATGACTCTGGTGTGAATACTCCTACCCATGGCCAATTTCAAGCTATCAAGGAATAACACTGAGTGCAAAGATGGGAAGAGATACATGATAACACATTAAACATTACAGAATATTTCTAAAATAGTGATATAATAAATTACCACCAAAGCATCAAAATAGTAATAAGTAATAATATAATTTGCAAGTAATGAGTTTTGAGTATTTATCACCTTTATTCTTAATATAACTGATTTAACTATAAGTGTATATAATTTAATTCTATTAAGAATTAAGCCAGCTCACAAACTTCCCAATATTTTGAAAACTGGCCCTCACAAGCTCTAGTATACCACTGCCCGTGGCTCACACAGGGCCAGGAATAGTTTGTATACCTATCAGCTAGAGTAGAAAAACTCATAATTCATAAGACATCAAGTACAGTGCTCAGGAGGGCATTGCTTCAGTAGTGGGACAAAATGAGCTCTAGACTAAAGATTGCTCTAGTCCCACCTAACAAAGATTAAAAGCAAGCCCCAAAAGAATAAATCCATTTGCAAGGAACTTAACTGTATCCCAGAACAAAACTCAAAAATATTTATAGGAATACAAAAACGTCTAGCACCAAACAACGTAAAACTGACAATGCCTGGCATCTAATAAAAAATTACCAGACATGCTAAGAAACAGGAAGATACTACATATAATGAGAAAATCAATCAATTAAAAAGGACACATACATGAAAGATTAACTAGGCAGGAACATTAAATCAGTTATTATAACTGTTGTTAATACATTCAGAAAGATAAATGGAAATGTTAAGCATGTTAGGTACAGATATGAAAGATATTTTTAAGAATTGATTCTTCTAGTAATGAAAAATGCTGGTTGGGATAAACAGCAGATTAGATACTGCAAAGAAAATGTCAATGAACATGAAAGCATAGCAACAGAAACTACAAAATAAAGCACAGAGACAAACAAAACTGAATAAAAAAAGCATAAATGAGCTGTGAGACAACGTCAAGTGGCCTAGTAGATGGGTAACTGGAGTGCACAAAAGCACAAAAAAATGTCTGAAAAAGTAATGGCCCCAAATTTTTCAAATTTGACGGAAATTATAAACACACAGATCACAGAAACTAAACCCCAAGCACAAGAAACATGAAGAAAAGCACAGCACATCATAAGCAAATTGCTTTAAATAAGTTAAAAAAAAAAAAGAATATCTTAAAAGCAGATGGAGAAAAATGACACATTATATACACGGGAAGAATAAGATTGAAAGCAGACTATTCACTAGAAACAACACAAGACACAAGACAGTGAAGTTTACCTTCATACTGAAAGAAACTATCAACTGATAATTCGATAGTTTTTGAAAGATATGTTCTCTAAGTTGAAATAAAGATGATTTCAAATGGTAAATGTTGGAAGATGCCATCACCAACAGAAATAAACTA